CAGGTTGCCCAGAGAGGTGGTGGATGCCCCATCCCTGGAAACATTCCAGGTCAGGTTGGACGGGGCTCTGAGCAACCTGATCTAGTTGAAGATGTCCCTGCCCACGGCAGGGGGGTTGGACTAGATGACCTTTAGAGGTCCCTTCCAACCCAAACTGTTCTATGATGAGCACAAAGTAGTTATCAGTGGAAGGGCAAAAGACAACAGCAAATAGCAGATGACCAGAAAGCAGGCACTCTAAAATTGAGTACAGTCTTACCTAGAAGAAAATGAAACATTCCCACTGTGAATATGCATAGGCTGGAATGGGCAAAAGTTAACATAAGAAATCATGTACCTGTAACAGTTTCAGAAGAAAATGTGAGAATGGTTACCCTCACAACTACCATGTTTTTCCAGAAGAGACCGAGAAAAACCACAGATCTTCGTCTTTTGTACTGCTCCTTTCCATAAGGAAAAAAAAAAACCAGTCAGGCAGTTTTGCTACACAGAAGTTATTAATACAAATGTTGTCACCAAAGCTGCTGTGGCACTTATTTGAGAAACTGAACGCTGATGACCTTCAGCTGACCAAATTTCAACCAGTACATGTATAATCAACACAAATTTTGATGGAGAAGCACAGCTGAATTCACTGTCCAAGGGAATTTCCTGTCTAGGCAAGAGCCAATTACTGGCTGCCTGCCCTCTTTCCTTAATTAGTTAAATAAAATGCTAGCAAGACAGGTGCTAAAGCACAGGTCAACGTATTTCTTTGCTGTCGTCTTTTGGATGTAGGAGGGCCTGGTTTTGCTCCAATTGATTGTATCAGACTGCTCCTCTAGGGTTTCAATAAGAACAAAAGCTAGAGCACAGAGGAATTTATTGTAGCAAATTTCTACAGTCATCTCCAAAAGGAATTGTAAATGTTCCTCATGGGAGGCTGATCCAGTTGCTCAATATTTGCCCTGCGCTGTTCAGTGTTCAATTTCTCAAAACAAAACAGCTCCAGATACTCAGCCACCTCTTCTGCCAGATTTGGATACCTGCTGCAATACAACAGATAACATCCAGCTTACTGAGCAGCAACTGATGAAAAATCTAGGTTGTCCATTATGGAACTATGCTAATGGTACACCACAGTTTTTCTTCTCCTCGTGCGTGGAGAAGAGGGGATGGGGAAGAGCACAGTGTATAAGAAGTTCCCTACAGGAGTGGAATATTTCCTGTTTCCTCAGGGTACCCCTGAAGAGGAAGACAGGAATCAATGATACTTTCATTTCTACACTGCAAAGCTGACACTTTTGTTCACGTACTGCGTTGGTGGTCTGACTGACATTTCACAAACACAGAATACAAAAAGCTTCCTGATTTTTGTTTAAAGTAAGTCTCAAGGACTCAATTTACTGATAGCTTTGCTTGCATAACGAGGTGTTGACTTGTACTAACTTCTCACACTGTGACTAGGAATGTATTGAGGAGAACAATTTCCCTTGGGGCCACTGTAGAGGATTAGGGAAATACATATGAGAATGGTCTCTCCAGAACACGCGGTATGCAATGGCAAGCAATTTTCCAAGACAGAGAGCTAGAACAAGCTTCATTCCTGTGAGAAAAGAGGAACGAGAAATTAGACTCCTGCTCTCAAAGTCAAAATAGAGCCCCTAGTTTGCGGCATTGGTGCAGAACTACTGCATATTGCACATTTTTTAGGGGAATTCACCACTGAAACAGAATTTGCACACAAGACCAAAATGTGACTCCATGAACTATGCAGAGCGAATGGTTCAAACTCAGATCCTTTATGTTTCTATACAGGGGAAGTTACTGCAGGTGCTATACTGTATGCTGTTCCTATAGGTTTGCACTCTGCTGCATGCCTAGCAGTACTGTGTGCAAGAAGTAAGGTCCCTGTGTCTCTGCTGAAACTGAGGAAAAGGAGTAATAGAGCTGAGGCTGGGAGAGCTGGGTGGAAGCAACAGAAGCACGTGGGACACAAGGACTTGGGCAGCTGGTGTGGGAATGTGGAAAACACATCAGCTTAGTGAAAGGATACAGTCTGGAGTTCCTAGTTTGGGCATAGAGGCGGAAAGGTAGGGCATGGGGCTGGGTTTGTGCTTTCTGGCTCATAGCCATATGAAAAGCTTGAGTGAAGCTTCTGGAGTCGAGTTGAGTGTCCAAGTCTCTGCTATAACTAGTCAGTCCAGTATTCCTCACTCATTGGAACCATCATTTGAATTCTTTCAACACTCAGACTCACAGAGATTTTCTTTACCATAGTTAATTCAATTTCTTACTTGGATTTTGCCTGTGACTTAGATCATTTATTACAAGTCAGATTTCTTTGCCCGGGTATGGGATTCTCACAGTCTATCCCACTGGCCTAATTTGGACAATATGCTACAAGGAGCCCTAGCTACTAATCCTCTGGCCAGCACCCCACTGATTTTACCAGGAGAGCGCACCTGAATTACTCAACTGCTTATTCTTCACTGCCTTCCCAAAGTCACCTCTATACATGCCCAAAAAGGCAGAGAAATACATCCTACAGTTCACTGTAGTTTAAGCTAACTTAAGATCGTGTCAGCTGGTAAGACCTGAGAAGCATATAGAAATGGCCACAATTGCAGTTATTCAAATTAAAACTGCAGTGAAGACCTGACAATTAAAGTGCAGACACTACTTCCACAGGGTAAATACAGCAGGGAGGAAGTGGCACACAGGAATATTTGATTTTTGTATGAAGCTTTTGCTTAAAAAAATGTAGAATGTGTCATTGCTGATAGGGGTATTGAATAGCTCCCACTGCTGTGATACAGTTGAAATCTCTGCTGATGACAAGTAGTAGCTCTAAATTGTTGAAGCATGGAGCAGATCAGCACTAAAACACATTTCCTCCCTAAAGACTGCAGCCTATTGAATAACAAAGGTTTGTTAGTTGAAGTCCCTTGCAATCAACTCTTGCATAAAGCATGCATTCCCAATGACAGCTGTTGTTAACATATTAACAAGAAAACTGATTTCTTGGATGTGAAAACATCAGGTGTTAAATTTCCTCATATACCCTTTTCTACCAGTATAGAAATCACTGCATATAAAACTATTGTTTGCTCAAAATAATAATAGTACTAAGTATGGCATAAATGCAAATAAGTAAAAAGAACTAAAAAAAAATTTTTTTTTTCAAAGATACAAAGAAAAAACCCCTACCATTTTACCCATATTTAAAGACATCTATGTTTAGGGCTGCATAACGTTTCAACAAAAATCAGTGTCTGCTGAACATGCAAATGGCTTTACAGGCACCAAAGTTAGTGCTGTAAGAAAAAGATAGTCACATTTCAATTTTATAAATGTTTCTTGATGTCAATTACGTATTATAGATTGAAAAGTGAAATTAGGGAGCAGCATGATGTATTTCTTTATCTGAAAGAGGTCACTATTCCAAATCTGTAATTAACAGAATGGTTAAAAGGAAAGCGTGTACTAAATGAAAAGACAGCAGCAAAAAGGCAGATCTGAATTCATCTGGAATAAATTCATAAATTAATCTGGAAACAGCTTTAATAAAACACAGTCTCAGTGCTGGGATGTTCAACTAAGCCAACTAATTAGCCCTGCAGAGGTGGGGTAAAAAGACTATTTAAAAAGGAAGCACAATAATGAAACTTAAAGAAAGGCAATATAAAACAAATCTCTCAACAAAAACGAGATGAGAATTCATTTTCCCCGTGGTGCTCTCCACAGCTCCTGAAAGTGCCTGCTGCTAGCAATGAATGAAATAAAAGCGGAGGAGGGAGAACAGAGAGAAAGAGGTGTTATCTTACCAGCTGACAGAGCTTATCACTCCCCTCCCTTCATGACGCTGGGAACTCACAAGCCTATAAAATGTGCCTTGGCTCCCAGTCCCTTTCTCCTTCAGCAAAACCAAAAGCAAGAGGTGGCTGTACAGAGGAGGAATGGGATGCTGTTCTACCCAGACGTAGCTCTCCTGACTCAGCTGGTACAGCATTTCTAACAGTTTGAACACTGTAGCCAAAGCTTTTCCTGACAGATCTCTCCTTCCCAGTACCTGCTGTACCGCCTTACTTCCTTTTTTCTTCTTACCTTTTTAGTGGGGAATTTGGAGAGTTGGGAGAGGGAGGTGGGAGAGTCACATCATTCCCAGAAGAGAGGAGAGGAACGTCCAAGATGACTTCTGTCCCCACAGCCAACTGGAATGTGAGCATGAGCAACAGGTGGAACATGAGCCTTGCTGCAGTGGGCGATCCCTGGGGACAGGCACTGGGAAATGCTTCTCCCCCTGTAGCATCCTCAGCAGCCAACTTCTCCAATCAGTTTGTGCAACCCTCTTGGCGCATTGCCCTGTGGTCGCTGGCTTATGGTGGTGTGGTGGCAGTGGCCGTTTTTGGAAATCTCATTGTCATCTGGATTATCCTGGCTCACAAGCACATGAGGACGGTGACCAATTACTTCCTGGTGAATCTGGCCTTCTCTGATGCCTCCATGGCTGCTTTCAATACTCTCATCAACTTCATCTATGCACTGCACAGCGAGTGGTACTTTGGAGAGGCTTACTGCCGCTTCCACAACTTCTTCCCAATCACAGCTGTCTTCGCCAGCATCTACTCCATGACAGCGATAGCTGTGGACAGGTGAGAGAAAAAAGAGGAAAAGTTTAGGGATGAGAGATCGAGATCAGATTCTCTGCTGAAATAAAAATACAGAGATAACAATCATTAAGTGATGAGAGATAGAGCCCTCAACAGTTCATCAATTGTGCTCCTCTGTGCTTCCTTAAGATCTCTCCCTAACACACTGTTTTTCTCCCTGTCTTTGGTCTTTCTCCTTCAGTCTTTCATTGGTTTTACTCTCTTGCTTTCTTTTACAACAAACACTTCCTCTCTCTGTTCTACTTCAGCTGCTCTCTGTGCTCCATCTTTTAATACTAATGCTGTAACAGCAGCCATTGCTCAGGGTTTTGCTTCCCACCTGTGAAAACAATATCTGTCCCTCAGTCAATGTCATCTAATTCATACTGATAAGGAGTTGTAGAGATTGTGTGTGAAGGGAGAGGATTTCAAATTTCCCTCCTCTTTGTATTTCTGCAGCTGGCAGAGGCATTTGCCTCCTCCTCAGAAATCACTTCAGACTCTGTTTTTAATAGCTCTTCTCACAGACAGCTCTGAGCTGCTTGGTTCCTCCTGATTTTAACTAATGAGACTATTTACATTGCCATCTGTGCATATCCAGACATCTGGTAAGAACATGGTTTCAAAGTGCTTGATTTTTTTCTGATTACTTGCAGCAAAACAAGCCTTTGTGACTGTGAAAGAAAACAGGACAGGGAAAAACTTTACCTTTGTGCTCTTGACAATAATGGAATAGGACAGCTGTAGTCTCCGTAAAGGGGAGATGTAGTTGTCAAGTTTCCAACAGAGAAGCTTTGACGGACCACCTTTCTCAGAAGGTGCTGTGAGTCTCCCCCAGGAAATGTTCCTTTCTTTATGATCATTTTCACATTTGCTGTACTGGAGAGATAATTTACCTTGTGCCTTAGAAATCCAATAAATTCCTGAATTTTCATTCAGAAAAACAGATCACTTTGTACTTCAGATCTTTTATTCCTTTTAGCAATGCACTGAAATTACTCACAAAACTCCTTTCTACATATTCAAATCATGTTATGCATCTTTCCTGAATTGACTTGGCAGAACTGCAGCACTTTCCGGTGATGGTAGTTAAGATTTTATAAGGTTCAATCCATCTTCTGAAACGTTATTTCTCATTTCCAGGTGCAAAGATTGGGAAACGTTGTTGTACCTTTTGTCTGTGCTGTGGACAAGTTCATAATAATGCTTTTCTTTTGGCCCTACTAATTGCAAATTTTAGGTGGTGTTCTCAACCAGATGCATTTCTGTTCCGTAAAGCTAAAAATGAAAGAGAAAATGGGATTCTTAGCAACTCTTCCACCTCTCTGCTCCAGGGATGGGTGAAGACAGGAGGAAATCAGTACACTTTCCTCCTGCCAGTGATGTATCTTGTTCCCAACTGTTACTTTCCATTAATAATAGAGGAGGTAGTGTAAAGCCAGTGATACTATCTTTAACCAGGCAAAGATTTCTTCCATTGTCAATTTGGGTTTAGCTTAAAATTCTCATCTAGCCTGAGGCTTTCAGAAAGATAAAGGGTTTTTAGTTGATGCTGAGGATTTAACTGTTATTGCTGCAGCTGATCATGTCATTAGCGGAGCAGTTACTAGGATGCTCTGAGTAAGGTTTTTTCATTTTTCTGACAAAAACATCCACAGACATGTAGTACTTACTACCTTGAAAGTTCCTAAATTTATGCTAGGAAACTGGAAACAAAGGGGAATACAGTTCCTTGGGAAATCCAAAGGGTGCATTTCCGGAGTGAGTGGAGAATAGCTCTGCTCCACACTGACTGGAGTGCAACGGTCAGATACAAACATATTGGAAATGTTTTCCTTGGTTTAGCAATGTGAGACACTGGTGCTCAGAAGTGAGTCAATTACTACTGTTATTCACTCTGATCTATTTCTTGTCTGAAAATCATCTGAAAAAATCACAATTTCCACCCCACCACATCTTCCAAGCTCACCTGCCCCCAAAGACAAATCAAAATCTTCCCTTGGGGGGGGGGGGCACAGTGAACAATGCCACAGCTGTGTTTAGGTGAGCTCTCTGCAGTATCAAGGAGGGTCGTGTAAAACAAACAGAAGAGTAGTCTATCCCTCCTTCCTTATTCACACTGCTATTCCTTTCCCTTTTATAACATCACACCTGATGCGTTCAGTACCTTTAACCATTTCCTCACTACCTCTGCAGAACACTTCTGCAGAGTCAAGAGGAAAACTGAGGGTCAAAGTGAATCCCAAGGAATGTCCTTGGATGTACAGACTTCCCCGTTCCAGGGCATATATCTGCTGCGTGGACATTTTTTAAAACTTTGGTTCCCATTTGCCTTCTACGAAAGTTCAGCCAGTGCTTCAGACAGGACACTCTGCTTTAGTTTTGACCCAGTAAACTCATCCTTACACATTCATGTTTATTTAAAAATTAAAAAAAAAAAAAGCTACAAATTAGGATAAAACTACTGAGGGAACTGAAATGATGGGATCATATCAGATGATTTTCCAGTAGAAATTGCTAACATCCCAAAATACTGAAAGGTCATGGGTTGCAACTCACTAAAAAGTATGTCGTGATATGCTCCGCTGATTGTTTTAGAACATCCAAATGTTCACAGAGTATGAACGAGTCACTGTGATTCTAGACATCACTGAGCAGCGGTCAGGGGCAGTATATGTTTCCTTTCACATCTGATTCTGTAGGCCGTGTTGTCTAAGTTGTGTGCACTGTGAAATTACTGGACAGACATAGGCTTCTGTGGAGCAGGCAGTTCCACAGAACTGCTGCCTCTGGAGCTGAGGATGAAAGTGTCCAAGACTGCTGTACGACCACCTGGTCATTGAACATAGACTCAAATTTATGCGGGTTTATTCACGCTTCTGACTGCCCCTTCCCAGTGGTCTTTTTCCCCTGCCTTCTGCTTCTTTTCCAACAGGCTGTTTGCAGTCTACTGCAGAGATGCCACAGGTGGCTTTAACCAAGCCAGCTCAAGTATCAGAAGCAGCACAGATTTTACACTGTACTGCTTCACAGGCATTCATTCATTCGTTCTTCTGTAGTTCATGCTGCACAGTACCACAGTTACATTGCTTCCAGTGCAATAGTTTCTTTAGCTACCTTATGGGCATGAACTTTTAAAATAGCCTAAGATAAACTGAATAGGGGATAGTTCTGGAGCCGATACACCCTTGCCACTGGCCAGTGCATGATCCTAAAGGGTCATGTGTCTTAATCTGTGACTACTGGCTGTGGTACAGTTCTTGGACATATTAAAGACAGTAACTTAGGCAGAATTTAAGCCATCTGGCCCTGGCCATTGAAGACCTGCTGTTCCTTCCTACCAGTTCTTAGCGTGCAAAAGAGGTGGTTCATGTACGCTGGCAATTAATTTCCAGTCCCAAGATTGCCTCATTATACAACCAGTTCTGTGTGCAGGCCTAGAAATTCTCTGCAGATATCTCATGGTTAAAGTGGAAGTTTGGAGATGTAGCAATGTAGCATAAAATAACATGCCTTCAGTAGAGCACTTCGTATATTTGTATGCATTTTTTCCTGGTACTAGCACATCTACAGTACGACTTTCTCAGTTATTTTTCTCTCAGCAATTCCATAATGATTTTTGCATTTCAACAAGTTTAACTCTTTGTGAAAGCAACTGCTCTGGAATTAAACAAGGTATTCTAAGAGTGACGGTGAGTAGTTGCCGATCCTATTCACATCTTACCATTTCTTTTATTCCTAGTATGCCAGCAAACTTTTGGTCTTTGAAGACCTATATTATTAGATTATATATATATAAAAATATATATGTGTTAGATTTCTTTATATGCAAAAGTAATTGCAAAGAATGACATATATATGCCAGTATTTTATACAAATGTAAATAAAATTACATTTATGATACACTAATGTTCTGCATTACTACAAAACAGCCTACAAGGCTTACTGCTGCTCAACATGGGTCAACATAATAGCATTAAAAAGAAATACATACCTTTTTTTTAACAAATTATTAGGAAAGAGAAAAACAATGGGTTTGACCTAATCCTTTCTAAAGATCAGATTCTGCCCAACCTTAATGGATGAAGATGCCTCTGGTGTCACATAACTACACAAAACAGCCCTATCCCCAAACTAAAGTTCAATACAGCTTTTTTTCCAAACTAATGGATGACTTCATAATCATGAGTTCATGAATCAGCCTTGGTCATGAAGGGAAAAATGCAAGATCTCTCTTAAAATTATCACTATTATTACTATTATTACTTTGCCAGTCAAACTATAGAATTCAAACAGGAAATGCCTGTTTCTCTGTGTTTCCCAATTTGTATTTTAAGATGAAGCACATCATATTTCTGGATTCCACTATCTAGGCTGCCCTCTGAAAAATAATAGTCCTCAGAACCGGAGAGAAAAAGTTGAACAGAAGAGCATTAAGTGTTCAAAAATCAAGAGGTGAAACATAAAGGACTCTTTATGACTTGGGGGCCTAAAACGATTTTCTGGGTTTGACAATTCTCTTTCTGAGAAAACAGGTGAAATAGTTTCTGCAGAACATCCTGATGCAATGGCTACAAGATTCAGTCTGTCAGAAACATAGGAAAAATAATTCATTTCTTGCTGTGGTACAAACTCATAATGATCAGGCAAAAAGACAGAATATTTTTGGGTTTTGGTCAAAATTCATGTCAGAGTTACGTTATTGATAACCTACTGAGACAGTTTGGGAACAAATATAGGCATAACAGCGATTTTTTTCCTCTTTGTTTTGCATTGAGTAAATATTCTATTTAACAAACTGCTTTCAAAAGGTGCAGTCTAAACAATGAGGTTGATATGCCAATACCTTGAGGAATATAAGCAACATTTACAACAGTGACTAGCCCCAAGTCTTCTTGTTCCAGGCAGGAAACAAGATCTGACAAGTTTGAACCATAGGTTCAAATAAGAAGTTCATTTTAGACAGAGTCTTAGCCTTAAATACATTTTCTCAGTGCCCTTAT